TATGTATGTATATATACGCCCTTCGTGGCCCCCAGTCGCTCGTGCCCTCAGTGGCCCCATTGCTGCCCTTCGTGGCCCCAGTGTAGCCCCATGTGCTCTCTCTCTCTCTCTCTCTCTCTCTCCTGTCTCACTCCTCTTGCTCTTTTAGGGGCTGCGCCCAATACACGTGGCAGGTCAGGAAGATGTACCCCCCAGATGGGGTACGATCGAAGACGACGAGGGCGGGTATCGGGGGTTTGGGATTTACGTGGTGAGGTACGCGCGAGCAAATAAGAGCGAACAATCTTATAATGATTGTTTTTGTTGTCATTGTTGTTATGATTATTTGTTGGTTGTTGTCGTCTTCCCACTCGCGACCCGGCCCGCGACCCACGCGCGACCTCAACCCGTGACCCGCCCGCGACCCGCCCGCGACCCGCCCGCGACCCGCCCGCGACCCACCCGCGACCCACCCCCGACCTACCCCGCGACCCGCTTAGCGCCCGCCCCTCACTCTTACCCGCATCCGCGGGGTGCTGCACAAGGCAAGGGAGTGGACGGGGAGGGGGGGCTGCGGGGGGGGGGGCCCTCCCCTCCTGCGAGGCCACGACCCTCGCCGCGCGCTCGGGCGCCAGCTTCGACTCGCAGAAGCCGCCGTGGCCGTTGCCGGCCACGCACCCGCCGCAGCAGTGCCCGTCGAACTGCGCCGGTGGAGCGGGGCGACCCCCGCGGGTGTTTTGCATAATTTTGCTCGGTTTAAATTGGATTTCTCGAAATTCAACCATTCGTTAGAGCTCTAATATTTCTTCCCCCCATCTTCGATCTTGCTCCCGCTCGCCATCTGAATATCAGGTCGATCGGGTACCTACTACTGCCAAAAAGCATGTGGGCGGGATCGGCTGCTCCCAAGGGGGGCCACCACTGTCTCCGTCGATCTCTGCGACGCAGGGAGCGGGCTCCCATGCCAGATGGCACGGCGACCCTGCGCGGCGGCTGACGCGGGCCGCCCGCGCGGAACGCCACATTGGGGGCCGAGGGCGCTGGCGCCCGACGCTGCGCGGACCACGTGCGCGCGGATGTCGGCGAAAGCGAATCCGTCTCTCCGCGTCGCGCTTCCGGTTCTGTGCAACCGCGGCGTCGTCCCGTCGCTTCGGCCTCTGGGGCCCGAGGTCGGAGCCTGGGGCAGTCAAGCACGGAGATCGGGGATGCAGAGCTAGCCCCGGGGAAGCGGTCGGGAGCCCTGGGGGGCCGCGGAAGGGGGGTCACTGGGGCTGCCCGGATGTCCGGTCGACGCGGACAAAACACGACGGCGGGCCCAGTTTCGACCTCTGGGTGCCCGCCAAAATTTGCATGAGGGGGCTGTCGCCGTTGTGCGCAGCCCGAAGCCTTACCAACTTCTCTCTCCCATTGCGCAATCAGGAAGACGAGGAGGAGGAGGAGGAGGAGGAGGAGGAGGAGGCGGAGGAGCAGGAGGAGCAGGAAAAGGAGGAGGATCACCACAGTGCTGCAGGACCACTGCTGCAGGCCCACTCTAAAATCATCGGCGTCTAATCATCTGACCTACCACGCCAGTATTGCCAGGGGTATCGATTCATTGGCCCCGCACTGGAACGCGCCACTGCAGGCGTCAGCACCGTCACAAGAGGGCTGGGTATATGGAAGGGAAGTCGAGGTGCTGCTCCTTGACAGTGCGCTCTGCTCCTGCGTGCCCGCAAAGGCTTCTCTTATGTTCCTGTCCTCTTTGCCTTCCTTCTTCCCCTTGCAGCTGCCCAGCGTTATCTTGCGCTTTTCGTGGCTATCAGGGGCAACACTTCTAAGGCGTGAACTGTTTCATCACAGTCCGACGTGATCATCGATAGACGCTGCGATCATCATATCAACATCTGCGCAACGCAAGCAGGCGGTTGAGGGGAAGGGAGAGGGAGAGGGACGGGAAGGTGGCTTGAAGATGTTGCAGCAGGAAATATCGAAGAATCTGATGGTTTCTGGAGGTTTTAATAAGAACCACCGCCCGAGGTGCCTTGTAAGACCGCTGCGCATAAACGTTTTGCTGAAGAGCGTTCTGGCAAGAGCGCGACACGCCCGTTGCACCAAAAACCTGACACGACTCTCCTCACACATCTGGCGGGCCGTTCCGTTCGAACCATGGGCTTCTGGATCGAATTCACATAAGCGGAAATGTTGATAAACCAAGACGTTGGCACGCTCAAGAAAACTGCAACCCTGGATCGAGACATTCGACATGGCTCGTTCTTTCCAGGTGTATTTGGCAAATTGCTAGCTTGCAGCGTCCTGGTTTCACTTGCTTGGATCTCTCGACCCCTTCTCTGAGTGCCGATTCTCCATCCACTTGTTTTATGGTCCCGGGGCCCGAGAAACTTGCCTCCAGAATACCCAAACGGTGACAACTTTATACGTTTCAATATTTTCCGAACTGCCATGTCTAGGGCCCGCCACGATCATATTCTCAGGGTGACAAGAAAGGGCGTCCTTGTCGAGGGAATGGACCGCGAATATGCACCTCAGGGAGCGGCGATCTGAAACGTCGTCGTGCCATCCTCCATCTCCTCCACCTCCTCCTCCTCCTGCCTCCTCCTCCTCCCTCCTCTTCCTCCTCCTCCTCCTCCTCCTCCTCCTCCTCCTCCTCCTCTCTCCTCCTCCTCCTACTCCTCCTCCTCCTCCCTCCTCCTCCTCCTCCTCCTCCTCCTCCTCCTCCTCCTCCTCCTCCTCCCTCCTCTCCTCCTCCCTCCCTCCTCCTCCTCCTCCTCCTCCTCCTCCTCCTCCTCCTCCTCCTCCTCCTCCTCCTGCCTCCTCTTCCTCCTCCTCCACAGTTGCACTATCTGAATACTACTCTCCTCTCTCCCCTGCTGGCGTCCGGGGGATGTTCGGCCCCCCTCAGCGTCCTCCTTCTCCTCCTCCTCCTCCTCCTGCCTCCTCTTCTTCCTCCTCCTCCTCCTCCTCCTCCTCCTCCTCCTCCTTCTCCTTCTTACACACAAGATTCCCGGAAGTTGAGTTGTCGCTGTGTTTTTGTTTCAGAATGCTGCTCTCGCTGAAGCGCTCGCCTCATTTTCGAGCCACCGCTCGTTCCGAATCGTGCTCACGTTGCAGCGCTGGCCCCAGTTCCGCGCTTCCGCTCGTTCCGAATCGTGCTCCTGCTGCAGCGCTGGCATCATGATGTCCAGCGCAATGCCACGGCATATTTTTCGGTCCTTCCAAGTAGGCTCCCAAATCTGGAAAATGGCCCACCCGAAGCAACCATCGGAAGTGAATTCCGCCGACCCCTTGGGGATCATCGGCGTGTGAGATGCTTCCCCCTCCCCAAACCCCTCCCCCGGGAGCCCGGTCCGGTCGATTTGGAGGGGGGGGGGGGGGTCCGGGACGAGCGCAGGGGGTCCGGGACGAGCGCAGGGGGTCCGGGACGAGCGCAGCACGGCCGGGACGAGCGGTTCACGGGGCTTTTCCGGGCCCAAGAGGGCCTCAAGACGGGCCAAGAAGCCCCCAAGAGGCCTCCAAGACGGCCCACGAAGGCCCCGAGACGCCAAACGACCGCTCCAAGACGCCCAAGATGGCCCCAAGACGGGCCAAGAGGTCTCCAAGACGGCCCCCGAGGTCCCAAACAAGCCTCCCAAGAGGGCCCCAAGAGTCTAAAATTGTAGATTTTCTATAATGTTTTTCGATGTTTTTTGCTTTTCCGCCTTTTCCGCTTCCCGACGCTCCAAGACGGCCAAAGAGGCCCCAAAGACAGCCCCAAGATGGCCCAAGAGGCCCCCAAGACGGCCTCCAGACGGCCCAAGACGGCCCCAACACGGCCCAAGAGGTCCCCAAGACGGCCCAAGAGGGCTCCAAGACGGCACCAAGAGGGGCCCAAGAGGGCGACCAAACATGTTGAAACTCTAGCTTTCTGCCCCCAGGAGCCCCAGGGGGCCCCAAGAGTGCCCCAAGAGGCCCCCAGAGGCCCTCACGAGGCCGCCCAGACGCCCCAAGGAACCCCCAAGAAGCACCCCAGAGGCTCCGAAACGGCCCCCAAGTGGCTCCAAAACTCGCTTCCAGAGGCCCCCGAGAAGCGATCCGCGAGATCCCGATACACATACAAGAAGCCTCTCACCCATAACCCATAACCCAGAGCCGTTTCTCCGTGTCCCCCTTTCTCCTCCTCCTCCTTTTCCTCCACCTGGGCTCGCCGTGCGCTCGGACCCCCCCGCGGAACTGCCCGAGACCCTCTGGCGGTGGCGGCGAACAGACACCAAACAAATATCACTCGCCTTTTCACCCCTTCGCAGCTTCTACTACCCCCAGATTGGCATAAACAAGGGGTCGGCGGTGTGGTGTAAGCCTAAGAATCACGTTCGGTGTCAGTTCGTTGATTTTTTGGGCCGCAGAAGGGGGCGCCTGCCACGCCATGCTATGTCAAGATACGCGTTCTCATGTCCGCGCTTCCGCGCTGAGCTTTTTTCAAAATGCTGCTCTCGCTGAAGCGCTGGCCTCATTTTCGGGCTACCGCTCGTTCCGATTCGTGATCCCGCTGAAGCGCTGGTATTACTTCCGCGCTTCCGCTCCTTCCGAATCGTGCTCCTGCTGCAGCGCTGGCATCATGATTTCCAGCGCAATGCCACGGCATGGTTTTCGGTCCTTCCAAGTAGGCCCCCAAATCTGGAAAATGGCCCACCCGAAGCAACCATCGGAAGTGAATACACGTTCGTTGTCGGTTCGTTGATTTTTTGGGCCGCAGAAGGGGGCGCCGCCACGCCATGCTATGTCAGGATACGCGTTCTCATGCCCGCGCTTCCGCGCTGAGCTTTTTTCAAAATGCTACTCTCGTTGAAGCGCTGGCCTCATTTTCGGGCTACCGCTCGTTCCGATTCGTGATCCCGCTGAAGCGCTGGTATTATTTCCGCGCTTCCGCTCCTTCCGAATCGTGCTCCTGCTGCAGCGCTGGCGTCATCAGTTCCAGCGCAATGCCACGGCATGGTTTTCGGTCCTTCCAAGTAGGCCCCCAAATCTGGAAAATGCCCCCCCCCCCCCCCGAAACAACCATCGGACACGAATACACATTCGGTGCCGATTCGTTGATATTTTTTGCCGCTGAAGCCTCCCCACTTTGGGGCGTCGCCACGCCATGCTTTGTCAGGCTTCGCGTCCTCATGTTCGCGCTTCCGCGCTGAGTTTTTTTTTAAGTTTCAAAATGCTCGTCTAGCTCAAACGCTGGCCTCATTTTCGGGCTACCGCTCGTTCCGATTCGTGCTCCCGCTGAAGCGCTGGCATCATTTCCGCGCTTCCGCTCGTTCCAAATCGTGATCCTGCTGCAACGCTGGCGTCATTATTTCCAGCGCCATGTCACGGCATGGTGTTCGGTCCTTCCACATAGGCTCCAAAGTTTGGAAAATGCACCCCCCGAAACAACCATCGGAAATGATTACACAGTCGGTGCCGTTTCGTTGATTTGTTGGGCCGCAGCAGCCCCCTTCCCTACTTTGGGGCGTCGCCGCGCCATGCTATGTCAGGATACTCGTTGATCTTCAACACCATGCTATGCCATGTAATGCTATGCTCTGCTACGACATCCGACTGTGCGAGTAGAGAGAGGGCCTACGTCATGGTAAGGGATGGGAGGGAGGGGTAGGACGTCAGATGTAACGCGAGCGCACCTATCTTGTCCTCCTCCCCCCTCCTCCTCCTCCTCCTGCTCCTCCTCCTCCTCCTCCTCCCTCCGTAGCCATTTTGGCTCAAGGCTCATGCTTTTGCGGGCTGAGCCCGTATTGGCATTCTCGGATACCGCTAGTCCGCGGCAGTGCCAGAGCGCTTGCGCTCGACAGCTTTTCGCCTTCACCGAGGGGTTGGGCTCCCTCATCAGTTTTGTCGCCACGGCCAGGCTGCCCTCAGGGCCGTGGCTCTCGCCGCTTGTCTCTGCGAAGTCGACGCCGCCATGGCCCCGACGCGCAAGGAGAACGCTTCGCCATGGTATTGCAAGTGGTGCAGGCATGACGTCACGAATCAGCCGTGGTTCAACGCCTCCACCCTTGTGTACTGCAAGAAGTGCGGCCTGCACAAGAGCAACTGTTTCAAGGAGAACAAAGCAGCGTCGCAGCCCAGCGTCTCGGCCAAGCAGCAGTCGCTCGCGGCCAAGGTCAAGGAGCTCGAGGCGCAGCTTGCCAAGCTCCGAGAGCATCCCCCTGGGCAAGGGCCAACGGCTACGGGTACAGGTGCGAGCCCTCCTTGGGCTGCCGCGCCTGGGGATGCCGACACCGTCAAGAGGAGCCGTATCAAGATGCTGGACCAGCTGCTTCGGGTCACTACTGACCCTGCTGATGCTGATATTGTGGCCAAATGGCGTGAGGAGCGTGCTAGGTTGGATGCTGAGCTCTTTCAAGATAGGCCCATTGAGCATCAGGCCAGGTCATTGGCGTCACGACTGTCCTCCGCCCGTGCGCGACAGGCTACCATCCAGGCCACTCGCGACGAGCAGCAGCGGAAGATTGACGAGCTCACCCGAGGCCTGGCCGACACGGACTCCAAGTTGCAGGAGGCGGCTGCGGAGGTCCTCCGCCTCGAGCAGCAGACTCGCGCCGCCATGTCGCGAGTCCAGCCGCCCGAGGGCACCCAGCCACCGACGTTGGCGGACTTGCTGCCCACCTTTGCGGTCAGCGTGGAGCAGCTGGGCAAGGTTGCATCGGGCCTCGGCCTTGGCGCCGACATGGTCAAGGAGCTGCAAGCTATGGCCAACACGGTCAGCAAGCTGCAGAATATGCCGCAGGCCAAGCCGCCTGAACCCGCACCTGCCCCCGATGATGAGGATGGTGATGAGTCTTGCGCTGAGCCACCTGACATCGAGATGTCCGAGCAGGAGTACCGTGAGACGCTGGGTGCAGCAGGGGTCCAAGTCGAGGAGAGCGACACCCCAGACATCGTGCGTGAGAAGTTCAAGCGCCTTCAGCAGAGCTACTTGGACACTGTGGCCAAGAAGGCCAAGACGTCGGCGTGAATGTGCTCGGCTTGATATGCTGTTGCTTTGGCTTTTTGTCACCATGGTTAGCTCCACATCAGCGCAACATGTCGAGAGTCCGCCTCAGTCATCTTCGACGGCGGCCAGCATTCTGGGCAGGGGGGGGAGGGATTCAGCCCCTCATAGTCACACCCCCCTGCCCACATCGGCGTCCAGTTCCATGACCTCGCCTGGCACTACGGCGCCTGCATTATCCCCCCCACTGGCCCGCTCCTCGGGGTGGGGGACAGCTCCGACCCTGACGGTGGCCTCGCCTACTTCGGTTGAGCCTGCAGCTCCGTCCAGGGCGACTACGGCATCACAGAGGGCTACTCCGTCTACGCCTACGCGGCTGGCCCCTGGCAGCACGCACTGCTCACCGACCTCATCTTCGGGGATTGGCGGCAGAGGGCACCGACCGTCCTCGGGCGGCACGCACTGCTCACCGCCCTTGCCCTCGGAGAATCCAGGCGGCAGAGGGTGCCGACTGCCAGGGGCCCCACCGGGCCAGAGCGGCCCAGTGTGCACTACTTTGGATGGCG